ATCTTCTGGGTTGTTGCGCTGTGTAGTCTGGTCGATGTTAACCAACGTTTCAGAGGTCATACTGCCTCCGTCATCAGGGCGATGAATATTCATCACTACACAGCGCAACAACCCAGAAGACGGATATCTTCAATAGAAAACATACTAGACCAAATCAAGAGCTGATTTTGAATTTTAAAAATTATGCACAGAACACTTCAAGATGGTCCTGCATCATTACTCTAGATGAAGAATCATTCAAAGATGATCTACTCCAGAATCACAGAATTCAAGGAGTTTCAAAATTTCATATATAATGCCTATTTCTGTTAATACACTCTTTGATTTTATATGTTATACATAAGTATTAATAACGTATCAGATTGTATTTTTTCATCATACTGTGGTTATACCTGAACATTTGCTCATTTCTGCTTTAACACAACAGTTGTTAACAAATAAAATAATGTGAAGTGAAGGGCACACATAACGAATTTCACCCAGGTATCTTCCTGATTTACATATCTCAAGAACCAAACAATATTGTGCAAATACTACAAACAATAAATAAAAAATGGAATTGTATGAAACTGAGATCAAATGTAATACACATAAGCATTCCCTGTAACCAGTCAAAATTACTTATGTTCTTCCCTTTCGGTGAGAAACCAGGTTTCACACCCACACAAAATATTAAGAAAAGACATTGTTGTTACAAATCCCAATATTTGCTGATATACTGCACTGACATTAATAACTTTGGTATCATAGAACCTGTAAGAGGTTAGAGTATTCTGATCAATTAGCAGTGCTTCCTTGGCAGGATATTCAGCAAGCTGCGTACACTAGTGACCAGTGTGTGATTTGTATGAAACAGTTTGTTTCATCAAACTGGAAGTGTTGTATGATGTAGCGCGAGTTTGGAGTGAGACTGCAGAGAAAGTCCTAAGAAATCAACTATTTAACATTCTCATTATATGGCCAACTCTGACTGAAATCCTGGATGATTTGGACTTGGATAAACCTGTCCAAAGTACTCACAACAAATGAATCTCTAATTATTTTCTTCAGTATTCCAGAAGGGCGGGAAAAATTAGTTCTCAGACTGATATAACACCCACTGCGTTATCGGAATATTACAATAACAATCAATCAGTTAATAATGCAACAAATACATACATAACCAAAATCCGAGTATTTCTTCTCCATGTTTTTCCAAGTCACTACGTTCCTCTACTTTCTGAATAAATTCAATGCAGTTCCTGTACTTGCAACACAATGTCCTCAGAGACGCATGCGTGACAAAAAGTTATACACAATATGAGTTTGCAAACGAGAATGGCCAACTTGAAAAAAAAACAATTCATTACACATGTTAACATGTGAAGACTACAGATGTTTCTTCTGTCATGGAATAAGCCTATATAGGCAATTGAATGAATTCCTGTAAAATTAGAAGGAAAAAATTTATAACAAAATTCAAGAAATAGAAACAAAAGTATTTCACTAGTGCCAAAAGCGATAAAAAATGCTATTGCATTACTTACAACACAACAAAAATTATATTTGAAAAATATAACAATAATTTACAATACAGAAATGTCTCTCGAATATGATCTGCTTACACGTGAAAGTGAACGAATTCAATTTCTTACGTCCAAAATACATTAAATTATTTCTTCAGATTGGATAGAGAAGTTACTGTTCGCAGTAAAGTTACACAAAAACGGGGAATCGCAAATAATGATGTTAGATTTTTTTTAATTCTGACGACAGGTCCATATGAACAGTATCCTTCCATCCTTTTCTCGGACTGGGACCTGTTCATATACTTTCTTGGCAGATGATCCAGAAGTGGTTTGCCATTGCCTTCTTCTGTGTGTGAATGGGGTAATTGTTGGGATGCCACGGAGGAAAACTCCGTGTTGCCTAGACCACGGCCTTGCCCAACACAAGTTATAAATTCGGGCACCGCCGTGAATCGAACCCGAGACCCCAGGATTACAAGGCCAGCGTTCTAACCGCTAGAACACCGTGGCCATGTCATCTTCATAAGCGATGTTATGTTAAACTCACTTAATTAATGATTATAACCTCACTTCGAGACTTGGTGCAGTCAAAATTAACGCGCCTTACAAACCGATATTTGTCAATCCACTATCTGTACAAAAAGCGTTGGCCCAAATATTAAACTACTTTTAAAAACACATTTCGCCGTTGAACTTTTTTTAAAAACATATTTTTTCACGCAATGTCCATCGGCAACCAAGTCAGACGCAAACTACATCTGAATAGTATGTCATTTTTTTCGCTACATGAACGTGTTACATGCTTGGACATTTATGTTGCTATTGTATTTTGGTAATCGACAGTAACGGCCTCTTCGTAGTGGGAACGAATGTTCGCGGCTTGTAATTAATAATAGTAAAAATCAAATAACTGGTGAATAATTCGCACATTATAAACCATGCTAATAATATGTATTACACTAACAAGTCAGTATGGCAATTCATGATGAAATCCATAGAAGATTAAATTCAGAGAATGCTTGCTATTATTCAGTCCAAAATGTTTTGTCCCAACTCCTAATATAATTACAAAGACTAATGTACTCAAAAGTGTAATTCTGGCATCGAGAACACTAAATTCTTGGATTGTGTCAATCGTCTGTGTTTTTAAAAAGAACACAGCCTTTCTGAAGCTGCATCTACCTCCTTCCTCAGTTTATAAAGTGGGGAAGGGCACTTACTCAATTGGGTCAGCCTGAGTTCCTCTGTCACTGCACCCTTCATAATTGATTTGTAATTTTTCAAATTGTGCTGTATGGGTGTGGAACTTGGTTTCTCACTTTGAGGAAAATTGATAGAGGGCCTTTCAGAAGTTCTTTGAGGAAAATATTTGGGCCTAAATGGGAGGGGAATGTATCACACAGAAAACTGCACAATGAAGAGCTTCACGGCCTACAAGATTAAGAATTAGTTGGATCTATACTACCTCTCCCCCAAGTGCCTACATGGCGTGTAGCGGGACAACTTTACTTTACTTTACTTGCCAGTCCTTACAGTAGTTATTGCATCCTGCTTAACTTACCTTCATTGCCAGAGCACAGATCCTTGTCAGGAAGTAAAACGTTTTTAAATGCGTCTGATCATGGATTGTGTGAACTTATCCCTACTTTATGAAAACCCTTTGTTTGTATTTTGTGACATTTATATAACAGTATGACTTGTATGGTCATCTGACTAACTTATGCATCCATGGAATGTAATAAAGATGTATGTAGTTAGATGTTCAGGATTATGACAGCTGGGTTCCCTCTGGAAGGCTGCCATGCAAATACATCATTCATTCTACAAATATTAAACATATTGTTCTGAACACATTTCTGCTGAACTGCTTTGTAATTTTGAATGTAAGACTGTGAAGTGACATGGTTTCTTCAAAGTCACTGCTAACCACCCCACAGGAGAAACAGCATTATAAAAATTTGATTTTTGTTCCTGTAGGGGTAATATATCCACAGACTAAAATTACTTCTTGCCTTTTCTGCAGAGTCTGAATGAGCCTGAAGCAGTGTTGATCAACACCTGGGCACAGCATAACTAGCATATATAGTCCTTAAAGGCATCACAATCGACCTGCGACGATTACGATGCAGGAATGAATTCTCAAGCCTACACAGTAATACTTAATACTTTCCTTATATGCATTTGTCATTTCCCTGACTTTTCCTACTAACTGTCAGAATCAACCTGTATCTTTGAAGTCCCACCCATGGCTCAGTTTACGAAAAAGGTGAAGACGGTGGAGTTATATATAGTTCCATACATTTTTACTATTGGCACTACATGGGGGTGAGTGATTACCTTCAAGCCCTCAAACTCAACCAAGACAATTGTTGGAAACAAAACACTTATGTACTTCACAAATTCCTAGCATGTATCATCTGAAGTTTTTTGGACAAAGTTAGTATATTATTCTTTGGTAACAAATAGTGATTAGAATATAAAATAAGCAAACAAACAACTATTAACATCATAAAAAAGATACTATTGCCATACATGTTTCAACCTCAAGAGGTCATTATCAGTGGCATCACGGAAATTAATTCATTTAATCAAATGATATAAATTATATTTAGAAAATAAATAATGAATAGCCTCTTCTTTGTTACACACAACTCAAGTCCTATATTCCGTATTCCCTGACATCCTCATATTTCCACATGGCGATCTTTTATCATTTGCATATCTTCTAGCCCCCTGAGTACATGCTTGTGTGTGTACTTTCCTTTCCCACTACTTTTCAGTACATTGGAAATTACCAGCGACCTGTTTTCTTTCTTACTAAGTCCCATATTCTGTCTCTCAATAAGCGCACAAAGTTACACAAAATGTTTTTTAAAATGTCATGAGGCCTGGCCATGTCAAATATAACAGCCATGGATTTACAAGGTCAAATTCTTATATCGAGTCTATGATGACACTGCACTACAAATCTAATCCAACACTGAAAGAAACTTTTAACCTTTACCATTTGGGAATAAGATATTTAAACCTCCCATACT